TCTCCCAAGGGGGAATTGAGGAAAAAAAAAAAAAAAAGATTTTGAATACTCAGTCATTTTGCACTGTGAAGAACGTCCATGTCGGGGCATAATTCTGATTTCTACTGGACCTAAAATAATTTTGCTGTGGGGTGACTGGTCAGACCTCACAGATTCTGTGCTCTGCTAGGGGCAGGGCATCCAGCTACCTACCTACAGTGTAGATTTCCATATTGACAGTAAAGATGGAGTGGGAGCGGGAAGAGTCCTTATTCATGAGGGTGTAACCCACTGCTCGGTTTCTCCAGCCTGTCTCCATGATCTGCTCACACTGGACCACGCTATGCACGGTGTGCAGAGAGAGCCCCTTCACGTACACCCCTTTCTCTGGGTGCTCCTTCAGCTGCAAACAGGCACAATGCAAGACAGGTTAGAACAAGACGCACCAAGGCTGTGGGAAGGCACGCTGGAAACTGCCCGGAAGCTTGAGGGCTACACGAGTTTTACAGGTGGAGAAATTAAAACTGCAGTATGGCAAAAACATATCTGGCTGCCACCAAAAAGCTTTATTGTTTCTGGAGGAGGAATAAAACCACACGAAAAAAGGGAACCACTTTCATGGCTCTGCAGTCAAAAAGAATTAAAGTTAAAAGTTTGCTGACTGATTCAGAGATCTCCCAGGCCACAAGAAACTCATCTTCTCTGCACTGAGCTGCCTTCTACCTCCCCTATTGTTAAGCTGCATATTTTAAAAAAGAACTGAAATGTTTTTCACCTATTATGGCAAAGGTTCTAATATCTCTTCAGTCATAGGGAGCTTTTTTTAAAATCAAAGCACAGATTCAATAGTCATAGATATTGTTACAAGCGCTTTGCTGAAGCCTTCTGCTCTTCGAGGGCGTCTTGATCTCCCTGACAAAATTCCCAAAGTCACACCCATCACACACAGGCAGACTATAATAATTTTTCTCCAGATTAGCTCATTTTTAATATGCTCTAAAATCCTATTCAGGCACCTGGGTAGAGACAGAGTGTTAACACCTAACAGCATCTTTTCAGCAATTATCAGTCACGCAGAAGAAAAGTTTCATACAGCATGCTAATAAACGATTGAAATGTTCAAAATCTTGATCAAACCTACATAAAAAATACAAAACAATCAAGAGATCCCTGCACTCCTACATCAGCCCCCTCTGAAGCTACCTCCACACTGGGAATTTTAAATGAGCTGAATTCATTTTCAACAGCAATGTTACACCCCACATCTGCTGAGTTCATAACCAAAACTCTATCTTTATCGTGTCAGCTGGGATATCAAGGTATCATTGTCATGACTCGGTGTCACGGAATGACAGGTATGGCGTTTGGCAGTGTGACTTCCAAAGAAGAGCCTTAGATACTTTAGTGATGCACGCACCACAAGAAGCAATGTAAAATAGAGTGTTTGCTGTTAAAAAACCTGCACAGAACAGAGCAGAAGTAGCTGGAAACTAAACGAGGCAGGATTTTAGCCTTGTTCTAAAGCCATGACTGCCCAGGAGGAATCCAGTTACAGAATCACAGCCAGACTGTTCATACACTGTGACTTTTGCCTGTGCTACAGGGGAACCCCACGGTTAGCTCGGCTGTATTTGAGGGTGCTGAAGAGTCCTTGAGGAACACCCAACCGAGGACACGGTTGTTTAACTCCAACACAGACTGATGGGGGCATTTTCCTTGCAGAGCTCTGTAAAACCTGCTCTTCACAGGGTTTTATGCACGGGAGGCAATGGTGGGCTTCTGAGTCACCAAAGTCACTGACATTGAAAGGCAAAAGAACAAACAGAAATGGCATTTTGGAGGAGAATTGGGGGACACAGAAGAAAGCAGTGGGTCAGCTTGGGCTTTCTGTCTCTGCAGGACATGACTCCCTTAATTACTCGATGGAGGCAGCAACAGGCAGCGGCTGTCACCAGCGTGATGGTGTTACCCTGGAAACTGTTCTGCCCAACTCCTGCCTTCCCAGTGCCAACTGTGGTCGTCATGGAAACCGGTGTCACTGCTGATGTGGAACAAAGGATGGGAAACTGCAGCAAGCGCCTTCCGAAACAGTGAGTCCCCTTCTCCCACCCTCTCTCTCTCGACACGCACAGGCGAAGCATGCTTGGAACGCGGGGCAGAGAGGGTTTTGCCTCCCTTAAAGCCAGAAGCATGTTAAAAAAAAAAAACCACAAACAAACTACCCCATAAGGCAGTTTGGGTCTGTCACCATCTCAGCGCATCTGTGCAGCAGATGGTGCTAGTGCCTCGGTTTTCTTCACCGGGGCAGTCCTGCAGGGAAGTAAATTAGGACAGGAGGTTTGCAGCTCCTTCCAGGAACATGTGCAAAAAGATCTGCAAAGCCACCGAGAGGTAAATTTTATAAAAATCAGCCCCCTGATTAGGATTTCAGGAAAGTTTACCCTCCTGCATTCCTGGAAACTGTCCACCTTCCCTATGTGTTCCCATGGGGAGTAATACCTGCTGCATCCCCTCAAAAAAGGATCAGCCTTTTTTGTTTTAGCCAGATAATAAGATCATCCACAGCTACACTGAATCAGATTAAACATTTATAAGGCACAGAATCCTCCTACTTTAGAGACAGCTGTGAGATGAAGAAGATTAGGAAGAAAATGCCCCATGAGCACTTTGTTCCATCCTTGTCCAGTAATGATTTTCATGCAGCTTCCACTAATCTACTGGCCGCTATCAAGCAGGACACACAGGACATGTCTCTGACTGGATCCTGTTCCTTCTGCCACTAAATGTTCACTAAGTCCCTCAAAATCTCCTCATGGCTTCCATATTCATCACTACAACTTCATATTCTGTTGTTCAGCTTCTGACAGAGCGTATTATTGCACTTCTGCGAGACATTCACGATAACACTTATCTGAGCAAATTAAAGCACTTCCTAATTAAGACACATTGACTCCGCCTCACCTCCAACTTCTGCTTGGTATCAGCTCCTAGGAGGTCTCGTATGTCTTCGTTGTAAATCTCCAGGTAGGAAGCTCTCACCAAGAACTTGGCATTTTCAGCACACTGCACAAAACAGGAATGATTTTTGAGTAAGGTTCTCAAAATGAAGGCAAGTAGGCAGCCCACATAGATCCTCAGTGCCAGCTGGGTGCCTACGTCCCTTCAACACTTCATCAAATCTCTCCTGGCATTTCATTCCCAGGTGTAACCACTCAACACACTTGCTATAGGGACTTTCGGTCCTTAAACATCTCAAGTGCGAGTCCATAAAGTCAGCAGAGAGTGCAGTTCATCTGACTATACACAGGCCTCAGCTTTTGGATGAGAGGCAGCATACCCTGAAGCCTGTCCCCATTCTCACTCCCAAGCGCAATTGGCACTCGCTTCCTGGGGTATGAATGTCTTTCTTGATATCACATAATCTTACAACGGGTCTCTTTCACATTGTTACACACCTACCTGTACGCTCTCAAAAATGTGTTCAAATGCTCTGGGTATTATGCCTTTCTGTATAGAAGGATCCACAACTCCCTGCATGGTGAATGACTTCCCACTGCCAGTCTGGCCATAGGCAAATATGGTGCCATTGTAGCCTTCAGTGACACCCTGGAAACGAAGGGAAATCAAATAAAATAGCCATTATCTTCACCCTTTGCATAACTGCAAATACGTTGTCCAGAATCAATCCTACCCCTTCACATGCCATCAGAGTATAATAATTAAAAAAATGCATTCTGCTAGCATATAAATCGATGGTTTTCTCTCAAAAACGGAAAACTTGAAGAAATGCCGGTGTTGAAAAGTGGAGGGGCAGTTGACAACACTTAGAAGACCAGAATATTTTTTTCTCTTGGAAAGCTGGCTGAAAGAAGGCCTCACTTTCACTTGTTCCTGTTTCAGAGAAGCATGGCAGGAACAGAAGATATTTGGATTTCTTAAGGTTCAAATAAAAAGAAAAAGAAATAATCCGTTAACCTAATAATCTACTGTTTCAGACCCTGGTTGTTCTCCTGAACAGGAACTTCCATCTTAAAATTATCACTGGCCATTTTATCCTTGTTTCATCTTCTAACAAAGTTGGGGTTTGGGGTTTTTTTTTTGGGGGGGGGGGAAGAGGAGGGAGGAGTTTGCTTAACTGGTTCCTTTCTCACCCTAGCCATTTACCATGCTGATGTGTTAACAGGCAACAAACATATCCCCTCATTTTGCTATTCTAAAACAGGCTGAGGTTCCCTGTCTTCTCTAAAGTTTCTTGCTTAACAGTAAAAATGTCCCTAAAATCATCAGTAGTCTTTTTTGTCCCCTTTCTCCTCACAACACTTTCTGCTGCACTTTCTGTCCAGCTACCATCTCTAGGGCCTGCTCAGGGGGGTTCATTTTTCATATAAACATCCGCCTAAAACAATTAAATGTAATTCTATCCTCAGTGCCCTGCTGGCTGCTGAAGAAGTATTTTTTTCTTCCCAATTTCCCAGCCTACCGCTGGGATGCTGTTTTGCCCTTCTCTGCACCCCAGGGTTGCATCTAAGTCTCTTGAAGCAGTAGACAGGGCTGTTTCTGTCCATAAATCAGTTGTACTTAGGGATCATCTACCCACGTAAAACTCTGCAGCCCACATCCCAAGCTATGTGTTGGCTGCTTCCAGCTTGCTTCAGGCACCACTCACCTCCACGAGTGGGTAGGCGACCTCGTTGTAGATCTGCTCCGTACTGTGCTCCTGGTAGTATGCCCCATCGAAGGTGAACTGCTTTGGGGGCTCACCGGTGGCAGTGGGGTTTTGAAGGAAGCACTGGCCCCGCGCGCTCTCCATGCTGACGACCGCTTTGCAGCCGAGAGCCTTCTCACGCTCATTCATGGGCCGGCAGCGGACGATCACCTTCACCGCCTCCGAGGCCATTTTTCAAGGCCCAGCTCTACCCCACACTCACTCGCTTGGTGGGGCTGAGGGGCATCGGGGCCTGGGTAGGCCTGGGGGAAGACTGGGGCAAGCCTAAGCGCAGGGCCTGCACCCCTCGGTGGGGTGGCCCACTCACTGCTTGCTGGGGGCACTGAGGGGATGGACCCCCCTACAGCTTGGCGTGAGGAAGGAGAGCCAGGGAGGCCACAAATGGCTGGGGTAAAGGAGAGATTAAGGAGGAGAAAAGCTTGGGAAGGATGAAGGGAAAGGGGGAGACTTGGGACAAGTCTGAGGGGGAACTCGGGCAGGCCGGGGGGGGAGGAAACCTGAGGGAATCCTGGGGGCAGGAAAGCCTCTGGTAACTCTGGGGAGCTGGGACAAGCCCAAAGGGGACTGGGCGAGGGAAAACCTGAGGTAAACCTGTAGGTATCGGGCAAGCCTGAGGGAGCGGAGGGAAACCCGAGGCGAGCCGGGGTGTGTGGAAGGAGCCGGGGGAGCTGAGGGGAGGCGGGAAGCGCCGTCCGACCCACCGCGCATGCGCACAGCGGCCCCACGCGGTTACCACAGCGACGGGGTAGCGTCGCGCAAGGCCCCGCCCCTCGAGCCACGTGACTGCGGGCGGGCACGCGCCCGCGTGCAAGTGCCGGCGTGCACCAAAGCGCACGTGTGCAAGGGGGGCGGGGACGGGACGGGACGGCGGGCACGAGGGCACGCGTGCGTGGGAATGCAGGTGCATGGGGGCGCGAGCGTGCAACGGCACGGGTGCACAGCCGCGCAGCGCACGAGTGCGCCGCCTGAGCGTGCGAGGGAAGGCGAGCGCGCGGGTGTGCAAGGGCAGGAGTGCGCGAGAGCGCGGTGGTAGCGGTGCACAAGGGTGCAAGAGCACGAGGGCTTTGAGACTGCAAGTGCACGGGCGCGCAAGGGCTTGAGTGCAGCCGTGCAAGCGCGGGAGCACACACGAGTATGAGCGCGCAGCTGCGCAGTGCAATCAAGCGTGCGAGCACGCGCGGGTGCGAGTGCGTGGAGCAACTATACAAGCGTGTGCATGCACGAGAGCACAAGCGCCCGAGAGCGCAAGTGCCCGAGTGCAAGTTCATGAGCGCGCACGTGCAGGAGAGCGTGCGAGCACACGAGCGCGCACGCTTGCACGCAGCGCGGCGGTGGGGGGGGCGGGAAGGAGAGACCTCCAGCAGCCCTCTCCTGCGGTAGCACGAGAGCCATTTATTGCCGGAGTCGCGCCGTACAGCCCGCCGAGCGCGCGCGCGCGGCCCACGGGAGGGGAATAAATAAGGCAGGTGGCAGCGATTTAAAGCTAAGTGGGGATTTGGGGGGCTAGCTGTGCCCGAGCGGGGGCGGGGGGGGGGGCGGCCGGGCCTAACCCCGCTCATGCTGCACCCCGACGGGGGCGGCGGGGGCCCAGGCGGCCTCCCCCCAGGCGCTGGCCTCACCGCCGGGGTCCCGCTCCTCGTAGCCGGGGTTGAGGCGACCAGGGGCCAAGCGGCAGAAGCAGCCCCCCGGCGCCCCGGAGTAGTGAGCCAGGAGGGCGGCCACGCTGGCGAACTCGGCGTTGGAGTGCTGCCGTCGGTGCGGGGAGAGAGGGCAGAGGTGAGTCCCCCCCGCTCGGCCGGTGGCCGCGGTGGCCGGAGGGCCTTGCCAGAATGCCCACGTGCTAATGCAGCCATGCACCCGGGCACCCCGAGTTGAATGCACCCATGCACCAAATACCTACGTACCCACACACAGGTGCACCCATGCACCAAACGCACCCGTGCGCTTATGCACCGTGCGCCCACAAACCCAATGCACCCACGCGTCAATGCATGGGTGCGCACATGAATCAAATACACCCATGCATCCCTTGCATCCATGCGTGCGCATACTGATGCGCCTGCGTACCTGTGCACCGTGCATCCACACACAGCTGCGCTCTGCGCACTGATGCACCCCAAATCAAACGCACCGGCGCACCCACAACTCAAATGCACCCATGAATCAAACAGACTCTCACCAATGCACCCGTGTACCACGTACCCACACGCAGATGCACTTGTGCACCCATGAATCAAATGTAATTGCACAGCAAAGCATGGATACACCCACGCACCCACACCCATTGGTACCTGTGTGCCATGCACAGATGCACCCGTGCACCCACACACCAACCCCCCTCTGCACCCACGCACAGACGCATGTGAGCACCGATGCAACCATGAAGCAAATACCTCTGTGCACCCATGCAGTTACGAAGCAAATGCACTTATACACCAGTGTACCCATGCACCAATGCACTCATACACCTCTGCACCGATGCAACCACAAAGCAAATGCACCCATGCGCCGCTGCATCAAATGCATGTACGCACCAGTGCATCCGTGTACCAATGCATCCATGCACAGATGCACCAAATGCACTTAAACATGTCAAACGCACGTACACACCAGCGCATCTACACACTTATGCACCGATGCATCCGTGCATAGATGCACCAAATTAACTCATACAGTGCATCAAATGCACTTATGCACCAGTACATCTGTGCACCAATGCACCAAATGCACTTATACACCAGTGCATCCACGCACAGACACACAAAATGAACTTACACCCCAGTGCATCCACGCACCGACGCATCAAATGCACTTACCCAGGTGCAACTGTGCACCACTGCAACCACGAAGCAAACGCACCCGTGTGCTCGTGCATCAAATGCGCTCACACGTGACGCGCCCATGCCCCGCTGCCCCCGCGCAGCAGCCTCACCTCCACGCAGAACCTGCCCTGGTGGGTCCTGAAGAGGCAGTAGGGGACGACGCCGCAGGGCGCCCGCACCCACAGGCACCAGCGCTTGGCCAGGCCAGGCTCAGGGCGCAGGAGAAAGGCTCCAGGGACGTCCCGCCGCAGCAGCGCGATCCCGACGTCCCTGGGGACGAGGCGGCGGGTGGGCGCCAGGGCGGGGGTGGGGGGGACGGACACGACGGCGAGGAGTGGGGTGCTGCTGTGCGCTCACCTGGCGATGCCGGCGAAGGCCCACACGGTCTCGGCGAGGACGCTCTCGTTTTCAGGGAGGAAGGCCAAGCTCCTCGTCCCTTTGCTCTCCCATCCCGCCGCCGCTGTGGGAGACCCTTAATCCCCTCGTCGCCCCAAAAACCCCACCAAATTGGGGCTACTTGTGTGTCTCCCCCGTGCCTCAGTTTCCCCTCCGGCACTCACCGGCGTCGCGGGGCGGCTGGTGGAGCTGGCTCTCGCCCCCGCAGTCCCGGTAAGCCCCCGAGCGCAGGACTTTGCTGCGGATGGCTTTTTTGCGCACCAGAACCGGGGAGCAGTAGGGGTTCCCCGGGCGCCAGGCACCGGCTCTGCCCTCCGCCTCCGGCCGCCGCTCCTGGAGGGCGGAGGGGCTGTGAGGGGGGTTTGGGGGATGCTTGCTGCGCAAAATGTCGCGCAAAAAACCACGCAAAAAACGCTGTGCAAAAAAAGCTACCCAAAAACCACCGTGCAAAACACCATGCAAAAATAACATGCAAAAAATGCTATACAAAAAACCCACCATGCAAAAAATGCCATGCAAAAAATGCTATACAAAAAACCCACCATACAAAAAAAGCTGTGGGGAAAAAAAAAAGCCATGCAAATCGCCATGCAAAAGATGCCATGCAAAAACGCCATGCCAAAAACACCACGCAAAACACCATGCAAAAAAGGTTATACAAAAAATGCCATGCAAAAAAAACACAGTGCAAAATAACCTGCAAAAAACTGCTATGTAAAAAAGTGCCATGCAAAAAATGCCCTGCAGCACAGCATGCAAAATAGCCGTGCAAAAAAATGCTGTGCAAATACATCTGATGCAAAACACCATACAATAAAAGACCATGCAAAAAACTGCCCTGCAAAATGCCATTTAAAACAGGCTATGTAAAACGCTGTGCAAGAAAAGGCTGCGCAGGATGGGCCTTGCAAAATGCACTGTCCAAAAACGTGCCGTGCAAAACGCTGTGCAAGAAAAGGCTGTGCAAAATACTGTGCGCATACTGCTGAGCAAAGAAGTGCTGTACAAAGAGGATATGCAAGGAAATGCCATGCAAGACACCATGCAAAAAACGTGCTGTGCAATAATGCGCCATGCAAAACGCGGTGCGAGAAAAAGCAGTGCAAGAACTGCCAGACAAAATAGCGTGCAAAAAATGCCGCGCCAAAAGTGTCATGCAAATACCCCTGCGCAAAAAAAATGCCCTGCAAAAAATGCCGTGCACATACTGCTGTGGAAGAAATGCCGTGCAAAGAAAAGGCCGTGCAAGAGAAACCCTGCAAGACACCACGCAAAAAAAGTGCTGCGCAAAAATGCGCCGTGCAAAACACCCTGCGAGAAAAGGCCATGCAGGAATCCCACGCACAAAACCACCACGCAAGCAAACATAGCGCAAAGGCCCGTGGAGCAGCACCCAGCACCCTGACAGGGTGCACGTACCCCTGCGCCCAGGGAGCCGAGGCCGGTGGGCGCGGGCAGGCGTCGGAAGGAGACGAGGGCGTTGACGTTGCGTGACACCTCCTCGGGGTTGAGGGGCTCCCGCAGCACCCCGGTCCCCGGGGGGTCCCCCTCGCCCGCCTGCTCCTCAGGGTGCGCCAGGAGGTAGCAGAGCTGGAAGGAGCGGCAGAGCAAGAGGTGCAGGGTCTGGACCTGGGGGAGGCAAAAGAAGCTGCGTGCAAATATTAAAAATAATAATAATAGGGTGGGGCTTTTTGGGGGGGAGGGTGTTGGGCCACGCACCTCGCCTGGGAGCCCCACAAAGAGGTGGCAGAAGAGGGGGCTGGCGGGGCTGCGGGGATTGCGGGCCACGAAGGCGAACTGGTGGTCGGCGTGTCGCCACGTGCTGTACAGGATCCGACGGAGAGCGTGCGCCATCAGCAGTGTCTGTGGGGATAAGATTATGGGGGTGGTCACTGGGACTGAGCACCCCTGGACACCCAGCCCCCCCGGGGTGCAAGCAGTGCCGGGGTCACCCCTACTTGCACGGCAGGTTGCAAACCTGCAACCGCGTGGTAGGCTGCAACCCTATTTGCAAACGCGAAGCAGGTTCCCAAGCGAAAAGCAATGCTCAGAGAGGTGCAACCCCCCCAAAGCAGCACCCAACACCCCCCCAGCACCCATGACCACCCCCCTTTCCCAGCACCCCTACCTCCCCGTCAGTGCCGTAGACCTTCAGCCCCTGCAAACTGAACCTCAGCACCACCGACCTCCTCCTGGGGCAGTCCTGGCCAGGAGAGATGCAGCGTTGGGGGGGGGGGTCCAGGCTTTGCCACCCGGGTGTGCCCCCCCACTATTTGGGGTCCCCCATTTCCCAGTGAGGGGGAGCAGGGGATGCCAGACCTTCAGTGCCCGCAGCTGCTCCTCCAGCCGCCCCGCTTGCTGCTGCAGGTCCAAGTCCTCCACCGCGAAAGAGCCCACGTACTGGGGGGGGGGGAACAAAAAAACCCACTCGTGTCAGCAACAACCCCCCCACTATGCTGCAGTTGCCCCCCTCGGGGTAATTGGACCACCCCGAGATGCTGTTTTGGGGGGTGATGGGGATGCATCCGCACCCAAACCTCATCTCAGGGTGTTGTGTCCCGTCCTCCCCACAGTGGGTCAATCACCTCTGCTGGCTTGGTGATGCCCCGGGCTCGCTGCTGGGGGGCCGCAGGATCCGGCCCCCTCCCGTTGGCTGGCTTCTTCTTCATGGCAGTGGGATTTGGGGGCGAAGGCTGGATCAGGATGGGGTTAAGCAGCTTGGGTGCTGCATCCGAATTATCCAAAGCCACCCAGGGTGACGGTGTGGGAGCCTCCAGTCACGGTCCCTGCGAGGAGGAAGGGAACGGACACAATCTGCCCCCACCGTCCCCAGTTTCCAGCCTGCTGAGCCCCGGGGAGACATTGTGGTCCCCATATGGTGGTCCCCAAGTCCCGACCCCAATGCAGATGTCCCCAGGTTCTGGCTCTGATGTAAGTGTCCTCCCATACTGGCCCCAGTCCTAACCCCAAACCCAACGCGAGGGTCCCTGCATCCCAAACCCAATGCAAGGGTCCCCATGTCCCCAGCCTGAGCATCAAGCAAGGGTCCCCATGTCCCAGCCCCCATGCAAGGGTCCCCCTGTGACCCCAAGTGCCATGCAAGGATCCCCACAGCCTGACCGTGACCCTGGTGCAAGGGGCCCCGCAGCCTGACCCCAATCACGACCAAAAGGTCCCCGTGTCCGGTCCCTGAGCACCGTGCGAGGGTCCCATGTCCCTGCCCCAAGCAGGATCCAGGTAGTCCCTTGTGTCCTGACCCCAAAAGCAACATGAAGGTCCCCAAATCCCAACCCCAAATGTGATGCATGCGGTCCCCACATCCTGGCCCCAAAAGAAACCCAAGTGTCCCCACGTCCTGACCCCCAGCAAAACGCAAGTGGTCCCTACACCCCAAGTACACAGTGCAGACCCCAAGCAAGGTGCATGCCATCCCACGCACCAAGCCCCAGTGAGACTTTGGGGTCCCCCCCATCCTCCCCCCTCCCCCCAGTGCTCCGTCCCACTCCCCACGGGCCATGCAGCACCAAGATGCTGACGGCTGTCCTTCAGGGGCGATCCCCAAAATGCCAGTGACGGGGGCAGCAGGTTTGGGGGTGCTTTTTCAGCCAGAGCACCCACCGAGGGATGCACCCAGCCCCTCTCCAGCCACCCAAAGGGGTTTTGCCCTCCACAGCCCTCAGCCAGGCTGAGACCGGCGCAACTCCTGTCACAGAGGCCACGCCGCAGCTGCCTGGTGCAAACACATGCGAAGTGGGGGGGGGGGGTGTCCAGCTGCCCCAAGCGCATCCTAATGAGGTGGCGGGGTCTCTATGGTGCTCCTATGCTCTTTGCAAGCTCAGGGTTGCCCCTCTCCTTTCTGGCACAATTTAGGGGGTCTCCCCCTCCCCCCCCCAGCCAATCCGCGGACAGGTAGCCCCCAAGCCCCACCCCCTTTTTCCCACGCTGTTTCTCAATGGAGCCCCCCAGCCCACGGGCCACCCTGAAGATCCCCAAGGGAGGGATACTGACCCCAAAATTGGGGGGAGGGGTGTGTGCGACACCCAGACACCAAACATCCCCAGGGACCCCCCCATCCCACTGGGCCCCCCCTCATCCCCAGCTCACGGACAGCTCGCTTGGATGGCTCCGGAGAAACACAGGCAAAAAAATTCCCCCCGCTCTGGCTCTTGGCCTTCGTCCGTTGTTTTCCTTCCCTGGGGTGGCTCCTCTGGCAGCTCCCGCTGCGGTGCAGGGATGCTCGACCTGTGGGCGTCAGGCCCTCGCTGTCAGCCAGGCCCAGGCGAGCCCGAGCCCGAGCCCACGCCGGGCACAGGGCAGGCAGCAAACTCTCATTTCCTGCCTCTGATCTGCCCGCGATGAATCACTGCAATTTACCTCCCTGGTTTTCTCCGTTTCTTGGAAGCGCCAGCGAGCAGAAACGCTCCGGCTTTTTGGAAAACGCGGCTGCAACTGATTTTTTTTCTCTCTCCTTTTTCTTTTTTTTTTTTTTTTTCTTCTCTCCTCTCCTACAGCGTGCCCAGTGGAGAAGCAATTTCTAACCCCGATGCACACACGTGGTCTCTCGCTCACCACCCCCTGCCCCAATGCTCACACCCTTTTCACTCCAATTTCTGAATTCCCCAGGGAGTTTTGTCCACCGCTATCTGCTTTCACCAGAAAAACATAAAGAGGGATGGGTCCGACCTCACTGCAAAGTGGCCATGCAAACCCAGAGCCTCAGGTCCCCAAAGTTGGCTGGCTGGCCAAATCCACGGGGCCGAAGTGAAAGCTGCCCCCAGCCGCAGGGATGCACTTGGCTCCTGGAAAGGGAAAGCAACAGTTTGGGGAGGAGATAGGGTCTAATCCCTCAGGGATACATCCGAAAATCCCCGTCTCGCGCCCCGGTGCACCCAAGGGTGTGAAGAAAAGGGTCCTAACAGCAGCATTCAAACCTTGGGTCACCGCCAGCGCTGGCTGCTCTGAAATGCCACGAGATGCCCCGGCAGAGCCCACCGGAAGAGTCAATAGTGTAGAAAGGGCGGAAAAAAAAAAAAAAAAAAAAAAAAGGACAGATGGGGCTGAAGAAACAACATAACAGAGCCCAGTCTGGTCAGGAAGTGGAGACTGGAGAAGAGTGAGCGGCAGAGCTGGCACAAACCTTCCCAAACGTGCAGCGGAGCTGCCGCTTGCTCCGCCGGCAATGCCACTGTGGGATGAAGATCTTCCCATTCAATCCCAGTTGCTACTCCTGGGAGGCAAGGATCGCTCCTTTGAATTCGATACAATCAGAGCCACAGCTTTTTTTTTTTTTTTGGCTCGGTATGTAGAAATCACTTAATTAGCAATTAAAACCACAACCCAAAGGAGTTTGGTGATGACCAAGGGAGCTAATGGCTGTTTTTAGCATAATTCGAGGTGCCTTGCAGCAAAATGAAGCCGTTTTCATGTGCAAAAAAATCGGTATTATCCAGACCAGCGTTTTAACAAATACCCATGGGGTTGTTGGTGTGGGAATGTTATTGGGAAGAGGGAGGTCGCAAAAAGCCCCACAGCTGGGTGAGGATGGGCAAGAACTCCTTGTCCCCATAAGCACCTTATCAATGAGAGAAGGTGTTTCCCAAATCTGGCTCACTGTAGCGCCTGCCTGGAGGAAAATGCTGACAAAACCCACTGTTTTGGTACAAGTAGCCCTAGGAAAGGGCCATTAACTAATGTTTCTAATTGCTTTACATCCCTGCAGATTACTCTTTGATCAGTGCTTTCACTCTCCCAGTTCCGTATCAGCTGTGATTTTTGTTAATCTGCTGTTTGCACCCTTGTTGCAGGGCTGGGAACAAGTTAGGGCATTTCTACAAGAATTTTTTAAACTCCCAGTTTTTAGAGGTAGCACACTGGGATGGCAACTGAAACTAATAAATTCAGTAAGGTTATTGTCTCCTTTTCTGCATTTTATTTCTACAGGTACTGCCACTCCTCTCAGCACAGTATGTGCAAAGCTCTTTCCAAGAGCACGTTAAGCAAAAAGAGTGTCAGGTCACATTTAAATCAGTGGCATTGCCCTGTCCAAGGGACAGCCGGGGACATGGGGGAGTGTTTTGAACGTAGACGCTGCTCTGGTGAGCAGGTCAAGAGGGGGGAAGACTTCAGTTGGTCTTTTTTGTCCCCACTGACTGGGGGCAGAGAGAGAAAAGCAGCAGCAAGACGTTCAAACAGAGCTTTCTTCTTGCTCACCTTTGTCTCCAGAGAAACCAGGGAAGAAAAAGGTCACACGTCGGTCCAACTACAGAGCTTGGCAGGGGCTCAGGCTAAAACAGCCCCAGTCTTTCACGCTGGCAATGTACTTTTAACAAAGATTTGCCTCTGCAGCAATCCATGGTGACTGTAATTCCCTCCTCTCTACATTTCCAGGAGAAGAAAGCTGTGGCGAGGAAGAGAAAGGACACACAAAGCAAGCCTGGAATCTAGTTTCATTTTATTTTAGCAAACTGCATGTTCTTCACTTATCAACATCTCTACATTAGCAATTGTATAGCTCTCCAACTTTTCTTTAAAAAAGGGTAAACAAGAGGTGACAAAACTCAGGCTCTTCATCTCTTAAAAACATTTGAAAGTTGGATTCAAGAAGACTTTTATATATTTTGGTTTTAAGGTAACAGATGTGGCGTGGAAATACTAATTCAAATCACCCGCCTAACTGAGAACTACCCCTTCTGGAGCCCCTCTGGCATCAGACGATCAGTAGACGCTGCAGCCTCCGTTTACTGAAGATCTGACTCACCGTCAAACAAACCTTGTTGGTCTGAAGGAGCCGAATGCACCGCCTCCTCAGCCTGTCGCTCTAACGGCCGAACAGAAAGAAGCACCTCCAGGACTCAGTGCAAGTGTTGTATATACACTGCTTCTTCACAGAAGCGTTAAGGACCTCATCATGCAGGGGATCTAGGAAGGACTCTTCTGCCGTTGTACCTTCTCATTAAGAATCACATTCCCCCAATCATCCTGTTCCTGCTGTCTAAAGATATAAAGATCTTCTTTGAAGAATTTTTAAAAGCCAACCCTCCCCCCCAAACCCAAGAGGAACACCGTAAAATGTACAGATTATATATGTCCTAGAAAAGTCCTAAAATTATTGCAGAAACTAAAGATGACTTGTTCCAGGGGGAGGGGCAGGCATGAGGCACAGCATTGAGATCTAACAAATGCTCGGGTTGGTTTGATTTAGTTTTCAGCTTTTACCCCATCATTCAAGAAAAAAAAATAATAAAAATTAAAGAAGTGTTTAAGCATCAGAACTAAAATACAAATGCACGTTGACTTATAAAACAAGATTGTGGATTTGACCATGGGATTCCCTGACAGTGGAAAAATTTTACTTTTTTGCCCGGAGAGATTTCCTCATGGTGGATTTGCCCTTGGCGGAAGGTTTCACTTCCTTCCTCCCGCTGGCTGCTGGTTTCTTGGAAGAGCTGCCACCAGAGGGTTTCTTGATGGCTGGGGCTGCTGGTTTGGCTTTCTTAGCAGGGGTTTTAACCTTGGGAGGGGGTTTTGCTTTCCCCCGGCGGGCTGCGGGGGTTTTTCTTGGCTTGGGTTTGGACTCTCTTCGCTTCATTGCAGGGGCCCTGCTCCGTGATTTTGGAGGTGGTCTCTTCTGCATCCTGTCAGAAAGAGAGACAGCACAAGATCTCAGTGGAGGCGCAAATGCTACCCAGAGCAGAGCTGCTGTCATCAATTTGCATAAACGAAACAGATCTTGGCATCCTTGTTCTTTACCACGGATGTTTCTTTATGCAGCAGTATATTTCATTAGCTAAATCCCAAAGAGCAAGAACTCCTCTAGTGGATCTTGCCACACTAAGCACTTCCCAATCCCCACAGTGCTATGCCAGGGAGGTTTTGAACTCCTTTGTTAGGCATATAAACATACAAATAATGACAATGAATCAAAGTCAATTGTCAGAACAATTAAGAGACCTAAGCACTATCTCTCCTCTCTAAATGGAATTTTATTACTTAATGAACAACACTTATCTTAAACCCACATTCTGAGTAAGGCAGGTTTCATATCTGGCTATAGAACTGCAAATAATACTGTAGGGAAAAGTTTTCTTAAGGAAACAATAAATACAAAAAGTCCCATATGAAACATCACACTTTTGTAAAGCACAAAAGGCGACTTTAGGAGACTAAAGACAATACAAAGAATAAATACAGGCTCTCTTCTCATCTGGAGGAAAAAAAGAGGTAAGCTTCAAATTATGGAATGGGGGAGATCCTTATCTCTGGAGCAAGGCATAATTAGAAAATTCTTCTTCCAACACCTCTGAGCAACAGCCTTGTGGATAAACAACCACACCAAGAGAGAAACCTATGCGCTCTACAGCTGTGACAGTCACTTTATTTCATCTGAAGGAGCCCATTTATCTCTCATGCTGCCATACCTCTTCTTTGGTGGTGGCTCTTCCTCCTCAGACTCTTCCTCTTCAGATTCTTCTTCCTCCTCAGATTCCTCCTCTTCTTCCTCATCAGATTCCTCAGAGTCCTCATCCTGCTGCTTCTCTGGGTAGAGCACATCTGGGCTACAAAAGGGCTCTTGTCAGAGCGTGACTTACTTCTAAGAATACAACTCCAGGGTCGGCAAGCCTTGGGTAACCCTGGCTCTCAGCAGGCACTGCGGCCCACCCTCCTGTAAGGTTACAGCTTTGAGCCTAATCCAGAAACACCCCCAAGACTTCTGTGTTTGCTGCTATCTGAAACCAACATTATTTAGTCTCTGCAATGGCAGAAGTGTGACGGCTTGTAAGTCACCAGGAACGTCCTAGCCCTAAGCTGCCTTTTCTCTGGTTCTCTTCCTCGTTGCTCCTTCTGTGCAACACAGGAAGGCAGACAACAAAGGGACAAGATCAGACTTCAGTGACTCTGAACGGAGGCTGAAGCTGCTGAGGACTTTGTACGTATGCAATAAAAGAAGGTGGGGAGCAGAGACTTTAATGACTATTGCTGCCATTTGGCTCTTTGTGGGACACTAAGTCACCATCCCTGGGCTCCACGTGGCCCAGCACAATACAATATACACTCACAGCAGGAGAAGAAAGGCTGGTTTAGTCTCACCGTAGCTAATCTAGGTCATCTTCCCTCCTCCCACCTCTCCTCCACATCGGCACTAAGAAAGGCAAACAGTTGAGTCCTACTCATTATGAGTATCCTTGCATTAAGAACACCACCATACTACCTGCTCATGCGAATTTGTTTTAGCATGGGAACACTTAAATAGCCCCCATTCTGAAGAAAAAAAAAAAAAAGGGCATCATGACTCAACCTGAGAATATGGAGCCCAATATTTTTATTGCCCGTAAAAGTTTCCCTTGCTAATGAAGTCAGCTTTATGTCAAGTCAGTCAGACATCCAAGTAATGTCATTATCTAGAGTACA